AGAAAGCTCAGTTCATTAAACCAAATCGCGCGATTTCAGACTATTGTTGACACATCCAGGTTTAGAAGGTATTACCTCAGCCACAATAGAATTGATGGAGAGATTTACGTGGTAAATAAACGAGCTCGCACCATTCATTTGTTCTGAAATATCACTATCTCACAAACCCATTTAGACTCGTCACTCACTCAACTGTGCATAATATACAAAAATATGCTACGTACATTATACAGCAAACGCTCTAGTTAATAATAAATAATATATTAACATCTATTGATATTAATTAATATTTATAAGCCCTGTCAAGCAAGGATGGATGTTGGAGGCTTGCAAATCTCTCTACTTATACTAGATTAATCTCCCTAGATCTCATGGGCACAGAGGATTGCAAAAGTTTAGTTTATTAGTGAATATTTTGTTATTTGAGGTAATCCTAATCTGTCCATCTCTTAGTCTTGAACAAACTCAGTTCTGACTGGGGTTATACTTGCAGCTCGTAGTGACTACAAATAGAATACCGTAAAATGAATTCTAAATGAACAAATTTTCTCGTACGGCGTGATGTAGCAATTGTCCATACAAAATTRAACTGGAATGATGATATAGGAAACTGGAGTTATTATAGCAAATTTCTCAAGTCGAAAGACTCCACATTGTTCAAACGATTTAACAACACAATAAAACAATTTCTCACTGAAATTACAAGCAATGCCACTTGAAATGTTCCTATCACAAAATATATTCTATTCGGTTCGATGATTTTCTTTTGACAAAAGCAAATAAATAAAAGGCAAGCAGATTAAATATAACCTTATTTTTGATTTCGAAAAATTYAGATCAAGAGATGCACATTTGGAAGTGGAAGTGGATTCGTATTGAAATATTACCCAAACTGTGAAAACACATTTTAAACTGTTAGGTAAGAATGTGACAGACATAATGAGATTTTTGGTTAACACGGTTTGCTAGAGTTTTACTCGAAGCTGAGGGCTTTAGAGCGAAACCAGAGCGAAACATAATGATAGCTAACAGCTGAACAGTTTACTAGTTTGCAACAAGACGTGTACAATCAACTTACCTCCATATAATTAAACAGCATATAGTATACAGTACTGGCTTGGCTTGTCCTTGGCTCAGTCCTCGTAYCACTAGCGATGTAAATAAACCTTTTCTCTGGCTTTGTACGACTGACACAACATCAATAGTCACATGTCAACCGACGAATCAATTTTTCTCTCGCGATAATTAAGCATTTTTTGCGCTTCAGCGCCAATGGGGCTTATTCTGACTACAAAATTGTGGACGTATCGTTTATGATAAAAAACTGTGATATTAGGATTGCGTTAATTTTTGGAGTTCTTCAATTTGATATTACCMCCTAATATATTTAAGATGTTAAAAGGGATGGTTGAAATCTAAGCGATCAATGGAAATTAATGAGAATCATGAAAGGAAATTTTGACAAACCTCAAGAGAAATAGGAATACAAATGGAAAAAAGAAAGGCTTGATTTATCCGAGTAAGTATTACTTAGAATAAAGAGATGACAGGAAAAAAAAAAAAAAATACTTCTTTCACTCGCTTTTGACTTTAATACGCGACCTATATAATCTAGTGTTCGTATTTTTTTCGTGTTCGCACGTTTCGYTACGTGAACGTGTTAATTATCGCGTGAAGATTAACTACTGGCCAACTGCAGACTAGTTTCATGGATTAAGAACCCTGATGCAAGCGACGACAAACATTGTCGCATAAATCAAAGACGTTGCTATAACAACTAAAATTTAGCAATGGCGCGCTGACGTCATGATCTTGAGTTGGAAAGAGCCATAAATTAGGGGATTTTTCATTATTTTGAAGTCAAAAACTAGGCTTTGAATAAAATTCAGGTTACAGGGTGCTACAACATCCCATTTCTAGCTTGGAATTAGTTTGTGGTTTAATAAGGTGCATCTTTCTAGTCTCGTGAGCCCGTAAGCACTCAAAATTCTAGATTCGTCCATGACATCTTTTGAAAATAAACAACTATACGGCATCATCAACTTGAGATTGTAAAGGGGGAAAAAATGAATATTTAGATTATTGTTAAAAGCTTTTCGTCATGATCGAACTGCATGAGCCAGACAAGGTAACTGGAACAAATTTGAAGCATTTTATTTATTGCCCATCAATTCCATCGTTTAAAGCGTTTTATATTAACATCACGGAGTTTACTTTGCTTTGTTTGACTTGAGTTTACTTGAGACGACGTGACGTAATTATATTACGTGACATGATGTTATGTTACGTGACCTGATGTAAAGTGACTTGATTTGACGTGACGTGACTTGACATGAATGTGATGTGACTAGTAGTGACCTGACGTGACGTCACATGACGTGGATGTGATTTGACTAGTAATGACCTGGCGTGACGTCACATGACGTGGATGTGATTCGATTAGTAGTGACCTGACGTGACGTGACATGACGAGGATGTGATTTGACTAGTTGTGACCTGACTTGATGTGACATGACGTAGATGTGATTTGACTATTAGTGACTTGACGTGACTTGACATGACGTGGATGTGATTTGACTAGTAGTGACTTAACTTGACGTGACGTGACTTGATGTGACTTTAAGTGATTTGACGTGACGTGATGTAATTTAACGACTAATATTAATTAACGACTTTACACTTTTAAACTAAAGGTTATTGTAACTGCCCTTAAATCACTTTACCCTTACCAATAAAATTTTCTCTTATTTGAAACATTCATTTGTCGAAGGCGTTTGACCACCTCACTTGAACCAAATCGAGGTCTGTCCTATKTTATTGACAGTACCAGATGCCGTGTACCAACCACGGTGGACATATGTCTCTGAACCCCTATGGACATCGGGCTGGAACGTCTTGCATGGAGCTGAAGAACATCCGGAGTGCCCATCTCCTGAGTGGACACTGGGGAAAAAGGGACCTTTTGTCCATGATGAGTGCTCAGTACCCAAATCGTTGAATCCATATCCGGTGGGATAGGAATCACCCCAGGTCACACCCAATGATTCTCCCAGTCCGTATCGCACAAACTCTCCAACGTCTCCCTTCAACCCTTCAACCAGGAAATCAGTCACGTGCATCTTAGGGATCCCATTGGCTCCCACAGCACCGTGATAACGATTGTGATTGGCAAAGGTGATCTTGTATGGGTTTTGTCGTAGATCTATTCTATAGACGTGAGAGAAGTGATCGATTCCACCGCTGTTTGGGTTGTTACCTGCTGCCATCATCATGTAGGTGGCATTTCGTGCCATCATCACAGCGCCATGCAATAGATTGATAACACCATTTTTCCCCGCGCGTCTGGTGGGACGCCAAGCATATCCCATGGGGTTGTTCATGTTTGGAATGGCTTTGTTCAAAAGTGAGCTACCTACAGAGCTAACGTANTCCATATCCGGTGGGATAGGAATCACCCCAGGTCACACCCAATGATTCTCCCAGTCCGTATCGCACAAACTCTCCAACGTCTCCCTTCAACCCTTCAACCAGGAAATCAGTCACGTGCATCTTAGGGATCCCATTGGCTCCCACAGCACCGTGATAACGATTGTGATTGGCAAAGGTGATCTTGTATGGGTTTTGTCGTAGATCTATTCTATAGACGTGAGAGAAGTGATCGATTCCACCGCTGTTTGGRTTGTTACCTGCTGCCATCATCATGTAGGTGGCATTTCGTGCCATCATCACRGCGCCATGCAATAGATTGATAACACCATTTTTYCCCGCGCGTCTGGTGGGACGCCAAGCATATCCCATGGGGTTGTTCATGTTTGGAATGGCTTTGTTCAAAAGTGAGCTACCTRCAGAGCTAACGTATCCATAACTGGCCAGCATCCATCCCCCAYCAGAGTAWGTCATATCGCAATACGTCTGCGCGGCAATCGATTCTCCTGGAGGCTGGATCCAATACATACCGCTGCCYTCACTCTCGCCGGYGTCTAAGATAGCCTGTGCGTTAGGAGCTGGGTTGATCTTAGAACCTAGYTTTTTACGTTCACACTGAGCTCCGGCAAAATCTTGAGGGCAAGTGCAMGTTTTACTTTTATTTGCACAAATGCCACCATTCTGGCATCGATAACGACCAATACATTGCCCTGAAGCAAAAAGAATATTGCTTATCATGAAATTATTATCAGTATCATATAAGTATATATATAAATAAATGCAATGGATAAATTAGATAATACTAGAAAGATGCGTTGAAACCTTGCCACGAACTACTAAAATTTGTTGCGAAGCAGTCGTAAATTTTTGAAGAGGCACTGTTTTTTTGTTATATAAGAGAACGCAAAACAGATATACGCAATGGCTAAATTAGAACGTAATTAGGAAGATTTGTTAAAAYATTGCTACAAACTAAACACTTGTTGAAGAAGTATTTGTTTAGTTTTAGCCACTGATAATTTTTCTTGTTAATACACGCCAGAACGCGAAACAGGAAAATGGATAAACTTGAGATTAATTCCGCTTTACTTATAATTAGTTCCACTGAAGCCTTTGTTGTTCAGATTTTTTTTTTTCTTTTTTTGACAAAAAACGATGCAATATTGCAGTATTTTTACTTCAATTTTAATAAAGTGAGAAGCACAAAGAAAATAACCTTCAACTTAATCTCGATTTGCTTAGTGACGTACCTTTTTCGCTATTTTAAAACCTCGAACTATCACCTTGAATAATCAAGCTAAGCCATTAAAAACCAAAATAACGATTTAGGGAAGTTGGCAGGGTAAACCTCTGAGAATCATTAAGAAAAATTATCTATCGCTGTACTTACCTTGTATTTGAACAAAAAGACTTCCAAGTAGGGTTAGCAAAATCAACGACTTCATGATGTCTGCCTCCTTCCGACAAAAATCTAAAATTGACACTAAACTTCCTTGTAGTGGTGTTTGTAACGTCTCTTGGTTTGATGGCCTGTCTGTCATGCCTTATAAGGTTATCCGAACAAATAGATACAATTTACAGTTGCCTAGCAGAGTGTTGCATGAAGAAGAATTGAGAACGTGCCACTTTTGGTGTCGACTTTTCATGGCATTTTTTCCTGTCTCTTCTGGGTTGTTGCTTGAAAAACCTCTGAAAAAACCTCTCAAAGATTTGAGCTTTCTTTTTGTTGTACTGGTTTCTGCGTTTGTTCCAGTTGTTATATAACTGAGAAATATATGAAAACATTACTCGGAATATTTTTCCGAGAAAAAATTGCTTGAAGAAACATAGTTCACATCTTTAATAACTAATCAAGCAGCTAACACCCCTTAATACTTGCATAAATCATTTGGTTTGTCACTAGTTACAAATAAATCTAATTATCTAATACGTCACTATAGTTCTTTCAACTTTACCACTCATGAATATACTCAAAGTTTATTAGCTTAGACTAAATGATCGATTAAGGGAATGATCATTAAAATAAATCAATGATACGAGGAAAAACACTGTCAAGAAGAAAGCTAAACAATTGACAAAGCAATTCATGTAAATCCCTCTGCTGAGCTCACTCACTAGCTCCCTCAAAGACAGTTTGCCGCTTTTCACTTGAACCAAATCGAGGTCTGTCCTATTTTATCGACAGTACCAGATGCCGTGTACCAACCATGGTGGACATATGTCTCTGAACCTCTATGGACATCGGGCTGGAACGTCTTGCATGGAGCTGAAGAACATCCGGAGTGCCCATCTCCTGAGTGGACACTGGGGAAAAAGGGACCTTTTGTCCATGATGAGTGCTCAGTACCCAAATCGTTGAATCCATATCCGGTTGGATAGGAATCACCCCAGGTCACACCCAATGATTCCCCCAGTCCGTATCGCACAAACTCTCCAACGTCTCCCTTCAACCCTTCAACCAGGAAATCAGTCACGTGCATCTTAGGGATCTGATTGGTTCCTATAGCGCCGTGAAAACGATTGTGATTGGCAAAGGTGATCTTGTATGGGTTTTGTCGTAGGTCTATTCTATAGACGTGAGAGWAGTGATCGATTCCACCGTCGTCTGGGTTGTTACCTGCTGCCATCATCATGTAGGTGGCATTTCGTGCCATCATCACGGCGCCATGCAATAGATTGATCAGACCGTTTCTTCCCGCGCGTCTGGTGGGACGCCAAGCATATCCCATGGGGTTGTTCATGTTTGGAATGGCTCTGTTCAAAGGCGAAGAAGGGGAATTACTTGCCCCGTGTACATATCCATAACTGGCCAGCATCCAYCCCCCATCAGAGTATGTCATATCGCAATACGTCTGCACGGCAATCGATTCTCCTGGAGGCTGGATCCAATACATACCGCTGCCCTCACTCTCGCCGGCGTCTAAGATAGCCTGTGCGTTAGGAGCTGGGTTAATCTTGGTACCCAGTCTCTTTCGTTCACACCGTGGCCCGGTGAAGTCTGGCAGACAAGCGCATTTTTTGTGTCCAACACACGCGCCGCCATTAGTACAAGCATGACGACCAGCACATTGACCTGAGGACAGACGTTTGCTTTGCGTCTCAATTATATTTAATACTAATTGACTCTTACTCTTCGTCTACTAGAATACTACTAAGGATATACCCTATGATTGATTTTACCACTATTATAAATTTTCTCGCTTTCTGATTGGTCTAGAGCCAGGGGAAATAGGAGGACATATACCGATAAATCACGTCAGCAAATCAAAACCCCGTTTTTCTTTCCAATTTTACCCTTGTTTTTGTAGTGAAAGTTTTAGTTTTTTGTGGTAAAAAAAAATGTCCTCCAGTTTTCTCAGCTACCCTTCGTGAATCCACAACATTTTGCCGACTAGATGACGAAAATCGTGGTACATGGYAAGTGCTGGTTCAAGGATTAGTTAAAGATTGGGTGGAGGAGGGGAGGGGTTTGCTATTCAGTAAAACGCTATAAGGCATCTCCATTTTGATTAGACTCTTTATTCTTTTCTGTGTGTATATCTTCAATGGAGAAGGGCAAATGCCATAAAATTTACGTTCCAACTCCTGTATCTGCCCTTGATAAGCCCAACTGAAATAAGCACTGATGCACGGTCCCATGCCACTTGTATGCTGATACAGACTTAGTCTTACTCACTCCCTCTACTACGACCACTTTATATGATCGAGATAAAATGTTTTACTTTCAAAATCACCCAGCAGGTAGAACTTAAATACAAAATTATTCATTGCGAGGTTTAGTAAAAGCCTGGGTCGAGTTGGCATTGCAGTGCATTGTGGGACTGATTTAGGGGACAAAATAGAAGCCATCTTGGAAAAACGACAGACCGAATATGCTCTGCGATGTTAACTCGGGCCAGTCTTTTACTAAACCTCGGAATGACTAACATTGACTTACTTTTTTGACAGTACATTCCTGTGAATCCCTTGGGACATTTACAGGACAAGACATTAGGCCCTCCTCTGCAAACCCCACCATTATGACAGTACGAGTCACGACAGACTGAGAAAGAAAGCAATGAACGAATAGGTGTTTTATACTACAATATATGTTACAAGTTACTTTTAAATTTTTATTCGATAGAGTGAAAGAATCAAGGAATTACTTTATTTTGGGTTTGTTAGGTCTCTCCCTTGTTGATTCAAGGGTTTCTCAGTTCTATATGGATAAATCTGTGAGTTAGCCGTGACTTAGATCAGCCCAGAGGTTGTTTCAGGGTTCAATCTGTGAGTTAGCCATGCCATGACTTAGATCAGCCCAGAGGTTGTTTCAGGGTTCAATCTGTGAGTTAGCCATGCCATGACTTAGATCAGCCCAGAGGTTGTTTCAAGGTTCAATCTG